CCAAGTTTATGGCAGATATTTTGGAAATTTTATGTCGAATGAATTTATTATTTCAAAGAAATAATATTACAATTTGTGAAATCAAAACTCAATTGGATATTATAATTACTACTATCAATGAATAATTTATTGGAACTGAAGAAATTAAGCCAATCTGGAGTATATATTTATGAAAATATATGAAGATTAATAATATCAATCCAAAAACTCTTCCATAATATATTCAAGATTTTGCCAGAGTTACTATTGAATCATTAAAAAAAAGATTTCCAAACTGTATCCAAATTGACACTTTTCACATTTTTGATCCTAAAAGTTTGTCAACTGAAGATAATGATTATGAAAGAAAAGAAATTAATATTTTGACAAATTTTTATGGTGAGAAAAAAATTATATCAGGTAAATTTTTTAAGCCAATTTTGAATGCTAAAAATCTTGTTCATGAATGGATTTCTGTTAAAATTCTTTTGAGCAATTATAAATAGTTTGGATTATTAGAGGCATGGCAAAATATTTTTATTAATTTTTCTGATTTTATTACTGTTTATCCTGAAATAGGAAAATTACTTCCTTTATTATTTATGCTTCCTTTAATTAATACTACTGTTAAACATATTTTTTCTAAGCAAAATTTAGTCAAAACAAAACTTTATAATCATATGAATATTTCAACTCTTAATTATTTTTTACTTATTTTATTTAATAGACCAGAATTGGATCAATTTAATTTTGAATTAACTTATGAAGAATGGTCTAAATTAGATCGAAAAATGCAATAAAATTTTAATTTTTAATTTTATTAAATTTAATAGAGAACATAAAAAAATTTTTGAGAACATTATTTAATAATATATGTTCATTTGAGAACATAAAATCAAAATCAAATTTTCAATACTATCCCTATTATTTTTGATCACTGGATAACAATTATGATCTTATTAATCAAAATATAATATTACGTAATTCTGATTATAAGATTATCATAGTTTTTTATCTATACTAATAAATGAACTTTTAAATATATCTGCATCTTATATAAAATAATGAAAATACTCAATTCAAACTAGATATATTAAAACAAGAGAATACCAGACTTATGACCTGAATTACGGAATTGGAACAAATCATGAAAGAGAAAGATGAGCTTATGGCTAGAATTGTAGAATTAGAGTGATATAAATCAAATACTACAAATCTTATAACTGAGAATATTGAGCTTAAAGATAGAGTCACAAAATTGAAACAAAAACAGTCCTTGACTTGTCTAGAATTATTGAATGATCCTAAACTCCAGATATAAAGTACTATTTCTCCTGAAATAAGAAGCGATTCTGGAATATCATCTATCCCACCACCTACTAAAGACCATTCTATTGATTTCATGCTCTTAGAGAAGAATTCTGGCAATAATTCTGAAAAAATAGAAAACATATCCAATAATACATCTAGCTATAAAGTGATTGCCTCTAGTAATTCTGATATATATCAAGAATCAGGAATCTCCATATCTCATATCTCTGCAGAATCTAAATCATTGGAAGAAAAAGAAATTAACAATTTCTTATATGAGAAAAATAAGGAAAGAGTTAGTAATAAAATAAGGTAGAGAAATCAGAAAAAGAAGATTCAAGTCCAAGTTTCACACAATGCTTCTTTAGTACCAGCTGATTCTTCTTGTAATAAGATTTTAAATACTGAGATAGAGGAAGAACTATGTAGTCTGGAAAAATAGTCTCAATCAAAATTACATGACACGAAAACTGTAATAAATTTGTCACGATCAGATAATGTATCTTCTGTAGTATCTGAATTAGAGCAAGATAATGAAATTGATGAGGTTAATACTAGTTAAATCGTAGAACAAGGTCTAATGCAAGAATTATCTCAGAATACCTCTGATATTGAAATTAATAAATCTTATATTCAAAACTTGAATAATTTGGCCTCAGATTCAGCACAAAGTTTATCATATTTGTTTGATAAAGCAGTTGTAAAGGGTCAAGAAGAAATTTTATGCTGGTATTATTATTCCCTTGAATTTGAAAATAGAGTTAAAAGTCTTATAACTGATGGAAATATTAAGAATAAAACTGCAAGAACAAAATTATATAAGGAAATAAAATCTTTTCTCCCTCATGTTACAGATTCAAATTTACATAAAAAAACTCAGAGAGCTCAGAAAATTCTTAAACTATTTGGAGAAGAAGAAGTAGATATATCTAAAATTAAACAGGTTACATATAGTGCAAGTACTATTTCAGGATTAACTAATGTGCAAATTCAAAATATTATAGATCATGTAAACTTAAAAACTATAATAAATTTGTCACGATCAGACTATATATCTCCAAAAATTAAGATAAATGATCTAACTAAATTACTAATTTCTAATTTTTCTGATTTGAAAGTACCATCTATCTCTAAATCCAAGGAGAATTTACCAGAAATCAAGAAGATCTTATCTGAAAAGCAAAATAATCTAGCAAATTCCTATGCAAGTTTTCATAGGAAAGTATTAGATCAATATTCTGATATATATTATAAATATAGTAATAAAGATGTTGATTATTATGGAATTAATGCAGAGATATTATGTCTAATATGCAAGTTAAATCATGAAGATAGAGAAGATATAGAGGGCAATTATAAAACTGGATCATACTATATTAAATATGAAGTATCTGAAATTGACATGATCCAGTACATTGGCCATATTAGCTCCACTGATGCTGAAATAATTGTATAAACTTTGTAATTACCTTTGGTAAGAAAATGTAAATAAATAAAGTACTATGTATTATATAATAAAGATTAGACCTATAATATATTTTTTATGTTATCCAATGTAAAGATTTAAATTGATTTATATATAATGATAACATGTCTTGTTTATCTAGCCACCTTGTGACTGCTTCTGACAAGAAAACATTAACTGATAACTATTACAAATGGCATAATAAATTATCTGGCCTATCAAGTCTATTAACAGATAAAATTCATTCTAGTTTATATAAAAGATATAAGAAAAAAACTGGGCTTGATCCCTGGATAAATACCAAAAAATCTTCACAAATCAAAAATGCTAATAATTATCTTTCATGAGACTATATCATCAAGATTTCTAAATTTTCAGAAGAGAAAGATGTGATTATTGAAACAGTACAGAAATAATTCTCTTTCTTGACATATACTAATTCGAATGTATAGAATCGAGATATATTTAAATATATTGATTCAGAAGCTAAATGTTTAATATGCAAAAAGGTATATACATGATATTGTATATGGGGTGATTGGAGTTGTCTAGGTAAAAATGATTACTATTATCTCAATTATTCATTTCATATCGATCAAAAGAAAGTTATTATTACTATATAGAACTTACTGAAAATTCAAGTAAGTATACCAAACAAAACCCATCTTTATCAGCCAGAGACTGGCTTATATCAATATGCCATTAAACATAAAATAGATCCTGATAAATTTTCAGTCATTACTGAGGCAGAGAAAAAAAGGTGAAGCATGAGATACTTCTGTGATAATTTGGAGAGAGATATATGTGAAGGAATAAAAAGAAATGAAGATATCAGAAAATATCATAAATTTTTAACAGATTGAAAAAGACTGATTAGTGAAGAGTTATTATATCGCAGTATACTAAAAAGTGATTTAAGTACTGCATGGTTAGATAATCTGATGAAAGAATGGGAAGAAATCCATACTTAATTTGTACAAATTTTTAGTCAAGGCTAATCAGATCAAGCCTACATATTCAATATTATATAATACCTAAAGTTGAGATACTTTTTCTATACTCTCATCTGTCAAATTATGAATAATGATACAAATAATATATATACCTATATACTCACTACAATAAATATGCATCTCTCCCATTCTCATATCATATATCACTTAAAAGCCTCAAAAATATAACACTCAAAGAGATGATCTAACAATCCAATCTGGACTAAAATTGAATCGTATTATTCTAGAGTATAAAGTTATTAAATCAAATAGGTCTAGTCACGAAGTGACTGCTTTCAGCAAATTCTTAAATTCAATATAAATTACTAAATATGTCAGGTCTTAATATTCCTATTATTATTGATAAAAAAACTAAATCACAAAAACTTATTAATAAGAAATATATAGAATCATATATCTACAAATATTTTAGTATTAAATATGAAGAATATTATATTGTTGCTTTTATAAATATGTCTTAAGTATTTTAACAATACTTTAACAGTACTTTAACCATACTTTAATCATATATCTGTGATTATATTAAAATATATGTGCTTGGTACTAGCTCCGCTATTGTATAATTTATTACTTTTTCAATCACACTTCAATATTATTTTAATCATGTTTTAATAATATAAATCTATGGACGTTCATTTACTTTTTTCACATAAAAGTAGTATAATTAACTGAATATATATGTCTTGAATTTGTATATCTCAGATTTGCATATCTCAGATTTGTCTATTTCAGACTGGGTGATCTCAAATAGTGAATATCATACATCCATATGATTGGAAAATTAAATTATATACTTATAATATACCCAAAATAGACTCTATATACCTGAAATAGATTTCATACCTAAATAGATCTCATATATCCAAAATAGATTTTTATTCATGGAGATGGATAATATCTACACAGTTGATTTTAAGTATCTTGACACTAGCTCTGCTATATAAATACTAATACTTGAACTTGAGAGACTTTATTGTTTCATACTTTCTTCTACTACATCACAAAAATATTACAAATACTTTGGATTTATCCTCTCTCAACACATATATACAAAATATACTATTTGGCATAAGCAAACACAAAAATATAGTTTAAAAACTCATTCTGTCAATATACATAAGTTACAAACTTGTTTTTAAAGAGTCTGATGATTTGGACTATACTCCATTCTCTACTTTTTTTGATAATAGCTATCTAGAGAATCGCATCAGTAATATAACTGCAGAAACTTTTTATAGTTCTAAAGATATATATCTCATATTTTTCAGTATAGAATCAAACCTAACAAAATCTATATTATGTGTAATCATATCCAGCTTAACTATATTCATAATATTATGTAATTTTATAGATTGTGATATATATATCATAAAAAACATTTGAAATACCAATGTGTAGGTTTGAAAAACCATGATTCAGAGAATCATCCATAGCCTGCTCTGCAATAGAAAATAACTTTAAGTTATATCTAAGAAATATTCTAGCAATCTAATCTACACAAAAATGAATCTAGATATTTAGAGTATATAGTTATTAAATCTAATAGATCTAAATCCCTAAATATGATACAAATCACATAATTTTTAAAAACACTATATATAATACATTAAATCACTTAATCATTAAATATGGTCTATACAAATAAATGCCCAGTTTTGAGCAATACTGAATGGAGAGATAATTATCAATTTCTAGTAATTTGTGATGGAGAAACACCATCTGATTGGAAGAATCAAATTTGGGATCAATTGGTAATTTATAGAAATAATAATAAATTAACTGATTACCATAAGTGATATCTTATTACTAGAAAGATGGAGTATTTATAGGAAGATGATCTTGATCATTCTGTTAAAATAAAGATTGCTATATGTCATTCTTGTAATCAGCTTATATATGTTGATCAAAAATCTAATAATTATCATAATTATAAAATGGTAGAGCATTGGTATTTTTAATGTATTAGAAATAAGTTTTGTGAAATGAGCTTTGAAGAATATATGGAACTTAAAGATAAATCCAAAGATAATATTAATTATTTCACAAAGATAACTTTTGATCAATATAAAATATGATTAAATAATACTATTAAAAGAGTTAAATATGTTTGAGAGATGGCAAAAAAAATTTGAGCTGTAAATATCATATCACAGAAGTGGCTTGAATTTATGTATCATCCTGAGGGTTTAACAGCTACAGAGCTTGCTTTACATTATAAATTATTATGAATGATTTGAGAAGAGATGTGTCAAATTAATAATATATAATACACATATCTATTTATTTGATTAATATAACTTATTTATATATATATATCTTTAAAATAAAATCATTTGAGGTATCCCTGAGAGCTGGTACTTTAGACTTTTATTCACTGCTATTTCATGATGATTAATAGCTATATTTTTCTTAATATATGTTTCATAATTTTCATGAAAGATTCCAATTTTTTATGTATTGTAAAATACAATATTAGTTTCTTGATACTATATATCAGTTGTAAAGCAATGACTCAAAGAGCCATGAAATTCAATAAAGCATATTCAGATCTGATTCATCAATTATCTTCCTTGATAGCACATAAAATCTGGATATGACTAATTTCTCAGAAGCAAAATCCAATGACAGAGGATGAGACTAGTGAGGTGAATCCATTAGTCAAGTCATTTTTAAGACATAAGGTAAATAGATATCAAAAAAAGTTAAAGTATCAGAGATGAAGTTGGTCATTACTTAAAGATTTATCGTATAATATGTGTTTTGATACTAGCTCTGCTATAGACATGATTAACCAAGAAATACAAACTTCAGATACTAATATCTGTACATGTGATCAGGTACATAAGTGCTCTTGCTTTGCAAGTGAGGAGGAGATCAATCATTGGATTAAGAAAGAGGTTAATGTTTTATGTTAGTGATTACTAAAACATAATGAAAAAACTTTTGATAAATTTATGTGAGAAATTACTATAGAGCATGAGGAACAAGTTAAAGTCAATAAGAAATTGCAATCTGAGATTAAAGAAAAAAAGATAGAATTACAATACAAGAGGCAGAAAAATTCCTAAAATATCTGAAATTACGCTCTATCCATTAGAAAGATCAATCATTTGATCCCAACCAAGATGTACTCTGTATGGATGCTCAGGAGATACACTTAAATTGAAGATAATAAATTTTTATTCGCATAAATACTTATTAACAATTTTATAGATACTATACCAATCATTAACATATAAATGAAGTATTCTGCTTAGCTCATCTGAAGTGCAAGAGCCATTAAATAGTATAACATATTTTAAATTTTTTCTTATTAGTTTTGGATAGTCAAATTAGCTTTGTGATATATACATCAAAAAAATATTAGAATGGCATCTCTCAGTAAAATAAGATATAATCTTTTCTTGAATTTTCTTTGATTTGGTACATATATCCTCAAATATAGTTACTGTATCTCTTTCTGGTAAGAATGAATCTAGCTTTGGAATTTTATCTGGTTTTATAGCCTGAAATATAATATCTTCACAATATGGCTCTGGACTATTTGCAATTATTTGAAAAACTGATTTAAGGTACATGTATTTTGATTCCTTGAGATAGTGATCAATAAGCATGATATCATCACATTTAATATATCTAGTGCCTTCTTTTTTACTATTAAACATTCTATATAGTTTATTTCTGCCTAAAAGATAAATAACTTCAGTAGATTTTCCTGTATTAGTTCGATCAGAGATTAGAAGTGTGAATAGCTATTGAGGTATACTATTTAATGAGTTAAATCTTTCTGAATTAATATATTCATCAATATTGAATATAAATTTCTTGACCAGATTAAGCTTTTCTATTTTTATCCCAATTAAACTAAGTAATGCTAAATTATTATATTAAAAAATAATGATCTTTATTATGATATATACATATTTACTAGATTTTTTATATATCTTTAGATACTAGCTCCACTATAATGATATACCTGACTCACTATTTGCATTTGAATATCAACTAACAATATCAAGAGTAGAATTTTTATTTTACAAGATTATAATTACATTTATGCTAACTTTCTCGTAATCCTCAATATTAAGCTTCTGGAGATTACACAAATTTGCTAATATAAACATAGATATATCAGTAATATTGTATCTCTCAAGATAAAGCTATTCAAGTTTTGGGCACAATCACGCTATTACACAAATAAATTCATCAGATACAAGATACCAACTAAAGTTAAGATATTTAAGATTTGGGTTGGATTGCGCAATTTTTTTAACTAATATATTAGTAATCTCTTCACACTCTTCCAATATATATTTTTACATATTCAGATATGCTAAAGCAATTATGCATATACCTTCATCAGTTATTTTTTGGCATTCAATTAAACTTAGACTGTAAAGTTTTGAGCATGATTTAGTAATCTATTTTAATGATACATCAGTAATATTATTCCTACATAAATCAAGATATTTTAAATATAAGCAGTTTTGTATAATTAGAATTATAGATATATTGGTAATATATTTATTATAATCCAATTTTAAGTAATGCAAATTAGTACATAAGCGGATAACTTTTTTCAATAATATATCAGATAGTTTAGAAGATCCAAGTTTTAGGTATTGTAGATTTGGACATGAATTTGTGATTTTATATAAAGTTGTATCTGTCATATTATAAAATTCATTATTTTATTTTATACCTTTACTATTGTATGAAATACTGAGGAATTCCAAAGGATAAATTTATACAATCTTACTAATAACTCTATCAGATAAATCACAATATTATTTGATCTTTAGATGACATAAATTAGGATAGGATCTAGCAATTCCATAGTGCTCATTATTAAAGATCTTGCAATTAGAAATATGAAGTTGAAGTAAATATGAAGCATGAGATTTTCGATTTCTACGTATTATCTTTTTGAATTTACTCCACTACATACAAGATTTTTTTAGATTACTAGAAAATTTAGCCTTTCTTCATAATATTAGGGTGAAGCATAAATATCATAACTGATTGACAAATAGGGTCAGGTATAATATTTTATCTTCAGTAAGATATAAGAAAATTTTGATTAAAAGTTCAGACAAGGCAAGTGGATGAAGTTTATTATATGTCATAGTTATCTTTGCAAATTTATTCTTTATGTGATAAATAACCTCTCTCTTGCAATTTACCTTTTATGAATGTATATAAATCTGAATCATATAGTATCAAGATGAGATCTATATCTTCTCGAGCACATATCTCCTACTTTTTTTGATCTTATAAAATTTGAGCCTTCAAATCTATTCTTCTTTATTTATGGAATATCAAATTCAAATAATAATGTTAGGTTCCATTAAATTTCTATACTAATTTTAGCTCTTCATTATATCCATCTAATTACATTTCATTCAAAAATGATAGTTTATAAGATGGAAATTTCTTATCTAACAGATCCTCAAAAATATATCTATAGTGTCTCTCAGTGGTATGATGGCATAAAGGATACCATTCAAATTTTGTAACTATCAATAGATATGGATACTCAAATTGATATTTACCATTCTCACATGACCAAAGATATACATTCTGATCATTAATTTGACCAGTTCTTGCTAAAATACTTCCATCACGTTTTCTGGTATATTATTACATATTGTCAAATTCATTATTGGAAATATGAATGAAATGCATCAATCTAGAGAGATGATATTTTTATATAAATTTGTCAGGTAGATACTCTACTTCTTCAGGATTTTTGATTACTTGAAGTTCTTCTCACTTGAATGGTCAATATAGATTACGACTCATCAAATGAGCTATAGATTCAATAGGTCCATTCTCAAGATAATATAAAACTGGCTGTGATGGATTCTTACCTACAATAACTTTCTCGATCTTATATAAATGCAATGAGAAGTATAGGTTAGTTTTCCTATGCATGTGTCCTTCTTCTAGCTCACCTGGTTTTAATAAATATCTTACAGTTGTTCCTTTTTGTAATTGTGATTCATCTTTCCCAATAGATCTTTTAGATTTGATAGTTATTTTAGAAATCACTTCCTGCAATATCATCACATATGATGGAAACATGCCTATTAATCATATTTTATTATTATTTATATAGTTGATAATTTTCCAAAGTATCTTATTTCATAATTTTGAATGTTTACATTCTCTGAGTTTACCCTCTATGGCATATTGAATTTTATATATATATCTTGCCAAATTCTGCTTGAATTTTTTAACCAATGCTAAACTTTCAAAACTGTAAAGATCAATAATTCTTATAGGAATATTATAACATTCTATCTCTTGAGAGAATGATTCTTTAAACTAGAGATGGGAGCCACAACTAGCCACAATTCTGTCACAATTCTCTGATTGGCTGCCGCAACTCTGTCATAATTCTCTGATTAGCTGTCGCAAGCCGCAATTAG